AATGTTGTTCTTGTAACAAACTTTTTCTTTTAGTATTGGCAGCCATTGCTTGCTACATTCTTCTGAAGTTTATTTACTTATATATCTTATATATCATTCTGAGGTTTCAAGCATCACCGTCGGAATTGTCAACTAAAAACATGGCTGTATGCCTGCCTACAAGTTGAGAACAAGTCCATCGTCAATTTTTTGGAAAACAAATACCACCAATGTCTTTTTTGGAAACGATTTCCGAAGTAGAAATGGAAACGGCTAACAAAAATTATAAAATGTAATCTTCTTCTTCTTGTATAAAAGCAATTTTGTCATCGGATTATTGCCTCTATGGAAGAGTGCCACTCCATCTCTGGCGCGGTCGGCTGATACTTGGTTGTTTATCCCTTGCTATTTTAATAACTCTTGTATCCGCCATTCTACTGATGTGATTGTTCCATTCTTTTTTTGTGTTTAGTGTCTATTCGATTATACCATGTACATTAGATTTTGTTCTGATCTCGTCGCTCTCGGTCTCTCGGCGTCGTTCCTGTAATTCTTCTGAGTAGTCTCATTTCTACTTCCAGCATTATCTCTGTTTTTTCCTGTTGTAGGTTTTATTTCTGATGATTAGGTCATTATTTGTCTTATACTGGCGTTGTACATTCTTGATGTGTTGGTTACGCCATAGTGTAATTAGGAGATCCTGCTAATATATTTGCTCTTTGTACTTGATCTCTTACTTCTTTTTCAAAGTCTCTATAGCTGGACAGTGTAATCTCTAAGTACTTTTTTCCATTAATTATTCAATGCTAACTCATTTGACGCGCTTTATAACTTCATCCATGATTAGATTGCATAGCATAGGGCCTAGTGGGTATCTGTCTTTTCCATTGCCTGTACCTATAGGTTTCGTACATGATACTATAACAAAACTATGTTTGTTATAGTATCATGGGTTTCGTAATTTGTCTATCTATTCTTATTTTGATCTTATTGTTTTAATAGACGTTTAGAATTGTTTTTATAATATTCAGCGGGATCTCTTTATTATATGAAAGATCTATTTAAGTCTTTAAAATCTTACTCTGTCAAATGCCTTTTTCAAGCGATCAAACATGGAAATGAGCGTCTATTGTATTTTGTGTTGTATGCTGTAGGTTTTTGTAATCCGTTTTATGAAGAATATTGCATCTGTACACGACCTTTCCGTTCGGAAACCTTGATGCTCATCTGCTAATGTTATGAGCTGATTTATTCGTTTTCGCGAAGTTTAAGTTGTAAGTTTCATGGTAGTATTTAGCAAATTAGCACATCTGTAGTTTTTTGGTTGTTTCTTATCACCCTTTTTTGAATAATAGTATTAGCTCGCTTGTCGCCCTAGAATAAGACTTTTCTGGTATTTTATTGTATCTTTATTGCCAATGGAATTTTAGTTACAGTCAATTGTGGCTGAATCCCATCCAAACATAATATTGAACATAAATTTTCTATAAGTAATCGATTTTTATAATTTAAAATAGAACAATTAGAAATTTTTATAATTTTTTGTCCACAATTACATATATATCGGTACGTCGAAGAAAATTTCAGATATCAGTAGTTTAGTTCCTTAGTTTTCTAAACAACAATTCAAGGTGCGTGAATCATTCAATCAAAAGTCAATTAACGTGGAAAAATCCTGATTTGAGTAAATATTATACCCATATTAATTAATTTCCTATTGATATTTTAATTGTATTTGCCACTATACATGCTTCGAAAAACAAACCCTTAAAGTGGAATATGGTCTCGATAACTGTTAACGTTAATTTTCAAGGTTATAGAATATTTTCTCTAGATATAGGTAGGTACACTTTTTAGTATTACTTTTCCACATGAATATGCATTTCTGAATCACATTCTTGTTAGGAGAGATTCCCTAACATGTTTGTTTAACAGAATTATGGAAGCGGAATAAATTATGAATGGGGGAGTAGACCTTCCTATCCCCTATATGCAAAAACAAAGATGATGTTAAACAAAGTACAATTTATAACGCCATCAAATAATTTAACCACCCAACAAAATGTGCGAGGGGAGTATTAATTAATGAATACGCGAAGAAATAGAAATATCTGAAAATATATTTGGATTTATATAAGACTTCAACAACGAGAGAATTGTCAATAAGACAACTAATAGAATTATAGGAATAAACCAACAACAGTTTATATGAGATTCATGCGCTAATCTTGAGAAAAAATTAGAGAATACATACCTCAAAAGGTTTTGTGATGGGCATTGGAGAAAGCAGAAGTTTCCGTTGAGTATGTGAAAATATAAATACTTGATCAGAAAAATAAATGGAAATTATTCGACACTCCATAATACTTAATGTACGCTGACGATGTATATGTCAAACATTGAAATTCAAAGACTTTAACTGTTACTCTTGAAGACAAATAATGTTTGAAACTAAATAAAGCAAGATTTTGGAATGTTCGTGTGAAAAAATAGTTACTAGATACCTACTCTAAATAAAATTTTTGTGATTAAAATAAAATAAAAAAAACAATAGAATTCTCATATAACACTTGTAGGTATATTTTTTCATGTAGAATCGAAATTTGCAATAAAAATTGGGGTTTTCCATTTAAGATTTTTGCCCCCCCTCCAATCGCAGTGGGTTGGGAGGGCAGTCGTATTTGGTGTCATTCTACAGAATTTTTGAAAAATTTAAACACGTGTTTTCTGGTTTTTCATTTAGCAGTGTACTTTTCGAGATATTTTCATAATTTTACTAAGGTATCTGAATAAATCGTTCTTTTCCAAATGAAAGTTACATATTATTCATATCGATATAGATTCATAAGGAATCCAAATATGTAATAAAAAATGGGGTTTTCTGTTTAAGATTTCTTTCGGCACACCCGGTATATATAATATAATGTATGTATACCCTTATGTATACAAAATATGTAACTAATTATGGTTAACATTTTTGATAGACTGAACACTTCTTGAACCAAGAAACCTATTAATTGTGTTTGGCTATATTTTTCTTGCATAATACACACTCACAAACTAGTACCAATAAAAACGTAAATCGCGAGATCGGAAAAAGTTTGTTTGTGAATTGACCAGGCCGCGCCAGAGAAGTAATGCACAGCCGGATGAGGATTGGACGGTACATGATCCGCCTCTTGACGGTGATCCTCTAATTGGGAAGCTGTGAGCCACGCCTCCCCCCATCGTCCGACGGTTCGTGCGCTAAGATCCTTTGTTTTATGTTGTCCTTTAAAGCTACACTAAGAAAAATATCATGAAAATATATAATATATTAAAATAAAATATTAAGATGATAAAATATTTTTAATGAATTTTTCATAATGCAAGAGTCGATACATGACTCACATTAGTTAGCATGGTTACTGATTGCCTATGTGTTTGGTACTTTTGGAATTATAATATATACCAGTAAATCTTACTTAATTTATAAATGTCAGATTTCCTGTTAATGCGTTTATTTTTTGTTTTTTTAAATATGTGTCATTTTCAAAAATAAACATTTTTGTTTATTTATTTCCTTCTGCAAAACGATTGTTTCAGATAACTTAAAGGCATGCTTGATATTGATTGCATGATTTTTTAGTGTACAAGCTTTTGATTTTCTTTGTTTGTCACTTCTGTGTGATATAATTCTACTTTACAATGTCCTAGAAGTTTCTTCAGTATATATTTTGTCACAATTTGAGCATCGTATTTCATACAAAACCCTTGAAATTTCATTTAGTGTCAATGGATCCTTAGTTATCGTGTATAAATTGGAGATGGTCTTAACATTTTTGTAGCGATTTTGAAGCGTTGATCCCTAAACAATTTTATAAGTTTTGGTGTTAAATCAGGAATGTACGGTAGTGCTCCAAAAGTTGTTGGTAATCCTGTTTTTATTATTTGTTGTTGCATTTTTAGTGAATGGTTTTTCGATGTTGTTTGCTCTATTTGTTGGTTTTGAGTTGTGATCTAATTTTTTTAGCCTACACTCTATGCATGTTGGATCTGATAACTTTGTGGCTCTGTTTTTTTTTTAGTTCTAGAACTAAGTCTATCTTCATTCGAGAAGAGTGTTCAGAATGATAATTGACAAATCTGTTGCTTGATGTAGGTTTTTTGTACCATTTTGCCTTAGAACATTAGCATGTGTGCGATGAACCATCATATCAAGAAAGGCAAGAGAATTCGATTTTTCGATTTCAACTGTGAATTATAATTGCTTGCATTGATTATTAAATATAGTTAAGACATGACATATTTTGGTACTGCAAGTATTAAATCATCCAAAAATCGTTTTATAAACGTAATGTCAAATGGTAATTGGTTCAAAGAGTTTCCTATCAAATCATCCAAAGCATAGTTTCATATGATTGGGAAAAGGGTGTTTCCCATTTAAATACCTAAAATTTGTTTGTAGTATTTGTCATTGAATTTGCATATGTTTGAATGTTTTTATGCTATTTATTATCAGAAAAAAAAGTATTAGACATAACTGAAATCACACCAAATAAGATCTATAGAAATAGATACTATATATATATTATTAAATGTCACATTTAATTAAACCATTAAAGTCATATCATTCAGCATAGGCCACTACTGACTCGTAGAAATAAGTGATTCTATGATTTTTTGTTATTCTTATTGTTGTTACCCTATAAAATTCGTTTTGTCAAATCCAAAATCCGGTCGTATGCCAATGTACCAGCCGCTACTGGTGATCACACTTATTATTAATCTTTTGTTAGAAAGTTAGTTACTTTAAATCTGATATTTACTGAATCTGAATACTGATTTGATGAATAAGTAATCTACAGAATCCACTTCTAATTATTTTTCTGATACCATGTATAGATATCAAATTTTTATGATATGGTTCATTGATATGGCATCCATATGATTTTTATTACAAAAATATAAATAATAATATTAAAGATTAGTTAAAAAAATTGATAACCGATTACTTATACTCAAATGTGCATTTGTTTCAGGAGTTTATGGCCAACTCCGGAGCCCTGCCTGCCCTCCTCCTCCAGAAGATTTAAGAGATGATGGATCTCCGCCTCCGGGTGCGCCTCAAACCAATTATCTTCAGCAATTGCAGAGGAGTCCCGCGTACCACCATTTAAAAGAAGGTAACTAATTATTTTTATACACTGTTTGGTAGAAAAAATGTAACTTTATAAATAATATTTAAGTAAAATGTGGATAAAAACGGGAAATCGTACTGGAACTTATGAAAATATGTAAAAATAAACAATACTAACGAAAAGTAGGAAGACAGCAGATCAAAACAGTAAAGAAGTGGGTAAACGTATCTACCTAAGAATACTTAAGAATTTATCTATAAGTACTAAAAAAAAATTATTTGTAGCAGAGATTTTACATTCGTCGATACAATACGATTGGTTAAATTTTCCCTCGATAGTGTCTTATGCCTTGGGGTTAAATCATGGACGCTGAAACAAGAGGTGATAAGAAGACGTCTTTGAGATGTGAGTCACAGGTGGATCATGTTACGAACGTTGAACAATTAAAAAGAGTGAAGAGGGGAAGATAAATTGAAAGGACAGTAGCAGAAAAATACTACGATATCCCCGACACAATGTGTGGGGAAAAATTGAAAGACAAAATAGAAGGCAGAAGTATAGAAAACGAATATCTTGACTGGAAAACCTGCGACTACGAGGTTTGTATGGTAGCATCTTCAAACAACTATTGCAATTGCTTTGAAAGTTATGATCGCCATGATGATTATCAATTTCTGTAACGCAGATGGTACTTGAAGAAGATTAATTCCCATAACTTAATTGCCACTTTCTTTTATTACATTTTAAGGATACCCTTGGCTGTCTATTTTCACTTTTCGGCATAATCAATAGTTCATTCAGACTTTGTTTGTTACATTGAAAATTCAAGTTCTTGCTAACTTTTAAAAGATATTCTTTTTTTTTCAACTCTATAAAACTACAGAATTTACAATAATCTACATGAATAATATAGACTTGCCTTGTTTATTAAGTATATTTCGCCAGGGGTTTCACATAAATATATGCATATTTTGCTAGGAACCAAGATTTTTGGCTTTTTGAGGCTTGTCGTTAATCCATTTTTCTAATATATTCAAATTTGTTTAATTAACTTAGTATTGATTTAATTTGGTGACAATACTGTTTGTAATATCAAGTAAAGCTATCAGTAATATGACTATGATTTTAGTGTTTCGGCCTTCTCGGAACAATAAGCAAGAGTATATGTAAATATTCCTAGGATTACACCGTGTTCTAAGCACTGTTACTGCTTTTGCATCAGTTTTGATATCAGAAGAACTCGGAATGTCACTGTCACTAGTTTCGATCAAATCTCGACAATATTAATTCTTATACAGTTTTTAATTTTGTTCATCAAATATTTACATAATGGTTGCCTAGCGAATATTATTGACGACGCACGCTTTTCAGATTCTAACGATCTAACCCTATAATGAAGGTTCTCAATAAACGTCAACTAGTCATTGTCACTGGGAAGAAAAAATCCTGATTAATTGATTGAACTAAATAATTTGACAAATTGCATAGACTGTATGGATATTGGCAAAAACTAAGTAGGTAGAAACGTAATACAATCTAAGAAAGATGCTTTCAGGTTGAACGCCGGTTCATGGGTTGGGCTTCCCTTCTTATTAATTTCAAAAGGACACGGCTTATTCAGCTGTTTTTGAAATTCGATATTTATATAGGGTCGATTACTGGGGAAGTAATAATTGTACAAAATGGTGGTGCACATCCGGATGGTAGAGCACCTATAGATAAAGTTTATATCCATAAAATAATACATATTAAGTGTAGGGACAACTATGTTTTATCACATTTTGGCTTCTTCAACTGGTGAATAACTAGTATTTCAAGAAACCCTAGTATAGTGAAACTAATAAGGTAGAAGTACATACAGTAGGCATTTTTTTACAAATATTTTGAATTTGTTTATTTAATATAAGAATTTGCTTGCGTTTAGTAAAGTTCTGCCCTGTTATTCACCCCCTCCCCAGCCCCACTTGCTTCCCTGTGAATAAATGTTTACTTTGTAGCAGTATTTCAAGGTTTTGTGAATGTAGGACGTAATATATGTAAAATTACTCAAATTATTAAAATTAGGTATTATTCAAACAAATCAAATAGTTTAAACCCAATAATTATTTATTGTCTCATTTAATCAAGTTTTTGCATATATCGTATTTGATCATCCTAAAAGTAGAGCTACAAACTGTTCTTAGCAGTATTCAAGTAAATAAGATTCAATATAAATAAATATAACAGTTTCGCATATTGCGAAATTGTTATATACTTTCTTGGGAATTTAGTCTTTTCTTCATTTTTTATTCAAAATATTTCATCATATTCTTCTTGCGGTTCTCATGTCTTACTCAACATAGCATACAAAATAACCACCGACCAAATCTTTATAACGTGACAGTTTCTTGAGAAAATCCTAGAGTTAGACGTCGATACCCATAACATAACTTGGTAAATATTACAAAAACTATAAGTTATTTCGGAATTTTAAATTACCGCCGAAATACCGTTTAGTTTGTTATTAAATTAACGGAACCAACACCTACAGATGTCCAAATATCAGACTCGGAAACCATCCAGGAAGACCTTTTAAGATTCTTGTAGAGATGGACCTAGACAGGGAAGCATTAATAGTACTATCTATTAAACTTTTCACTGTACAGGTGGTGGAATATATAGATAACATCCATATAATCGCCAGATTCACTGAAGCTTTGAAAGAGCACTGAAGTGTCCCTGACATAAGTTTTTTGGCATCAGGCAATCAGATACCTAGACTAATAATAATACTGCCATGAATATATCATATTATGATCATATGGAATTTATACTTCTTCATATATCTAGGATCGTAATTGACTTAAGATGACAAGGACAGTGAAGAAAATAGGAGAGTCGTTCTTTCTAAAGTGCTACTACGTCATGAAAAGACAATTGGCCTCAAAGTTGACTACAAAAACTAAACTGATCTTGGATGTGTTAGGCTTCAAATCAGTAATGAATTTTTCGACCTACTCAACTAGGAGACTGTGTCATAGAGAATACCGTTGGCTTCTTTTCCTATAAGAATTCCGTGGGATGTGAAAGACAAGAAGAAGAACAGCGTCGAAAATTCATCGTGGCGTCGCATTTAAGGAGAAAGTCTTTGACGACAGCTGATGAATATAATTTCGACGGGCTCCACTGTAGGAAAATACCATTTTGGTGAAAATTGCAACTGCGTTGGTACATGACTAGCACAATCGGAGGGGTTTTGATTAGAAGGCATATAATACCAAGAAGAGCGTGGTATTAGTTCTTGTACGTGTCTAATATTGAAAATTTATGGGTAGAAAACTATTTGACAAGTGTCTCGATCATCCAGCAATACGGCTTTCAACAGCTCCAATCTTGTCGAATCAGACCAAACATGAAGATTCTCTTTGACTAAAGTGAGAAAATACGTCAGCAATGTGGCTTCCACGAGTTCCAATCTTGCGATATATGATCTTCTGTAGAAAAGATATTAGAAATTTAACACATAAAAGTACAGTTGTGTTAATCCAATGTATCTTAAGATGATGAAACATCTGAACAAATGATGGCTATGGCTCATTTTAACCACTGATCGTTTCATTTTAATCTACATTGGTTTTTTAATTCATTAATACCATATACCCTGAAAATTCAGCGGGTAACTTATTGTTCATGTTATGTATATCAATTTTAACAAAGCTCTCTATTTTTAGGTTTTAAAGGTTCGTGTCCTCCTGGCACTGACTCGTCGGGGGGTAATTTTGGAGCGATGGAAAATAACCTGCCAACATTAAACAACGACGATGGGTCCCATCTTTTCCAAACTCCACATTTCTCGCCTGATGAACATGAGTATCAAGCTCTGGATAGCCATCAGCAGAATTACCTAGATAATTCACCTGAATTTTATTCTAATCATATATTAGAGCAGAAATATAATCCACATAGTTATGTTAAGAATTATGTTAGAGGTAAGTACAGTTAACTTGTAGATCGGTTAATAATAAAATGTTATCAAAATCTAAAAACAAATTAATAATCGTCACTGGTTCGGAATGTTGTAGTAGATTTTGACATCCGTCAACTTGTGTTACCTTTGAAAGAATATTAACAGCAATTACATGATAATTGCAAACAAATAATTTAACAGTCTTTTTGAATACCTATATTTATTACAGTCTATAGTATTTTCTATACTTTAGACATGTCCTTAAAGTCTATCGATATGAGTCGACATATCTTTAAAAGAAAGAAAACTATACCAAAATTTAAAATAATATTGTAATTTTGATTAATGAACAACAATTTTATTCGAAAAACGGATATACACTATAAATGTAAAAACTTAATTGAAGACTTTGAGGAAGAAGCATAAGTTTTTTTTTTCGATATTTTGCCATCACTTTCCATATTATAAAACATAATTATATCTATTAAATAAATTAATTTATTGCAATAATTGAAGGTGCTGGACGATTCAACGACGCATACTCAGATACCTACGGAACGCCGTACGATACGACGCCCTTCCAGACTGTGCCCAGTGGTGCCAATAGTGGGCCAGAACAATGGGGGCATAACCACGAATTAACGTTAGGTCATCATCCCCATACACATCCTGCATTTTTAACGGCAGGAATGACAAGAGATCAACTGAACGCAATCCAAGATACTAAGCCTATGATTCAAAATGGCATGATTACTGGATATCCTGGAAATCCTGCCACTGGAGGACCATGTTTTACAGGTGAGTCGCTAAAAGCCATTTAATATGTATTTTTAAATTTGTTAGTAACTAAAAGATGTAATATATCTCTTCCAAAGCACTAATAGTAAATGTTTATGTCCCTACCTCGGCAGAAACAAGAAGTATAGAAGTTTTATGAAGCAGTGATACAACTTTCAGAGCACTAATTTTTAGAGTTTCCATGCGATACCTATTCTTATTAAAGAAACCCTTTCTTGCTTTACGGATGTTTTTGTAGTGGAACTATAACATTAGATTTTCTAACCAAAGTAAAAGTAATGGCAGGATATACACCATTATTTAGATTTGTCCTGTATATCTGTAAAATTCTAGTTTACTGTTTCACTAATTAACCTGCGCACAAATTTGATACTACAGAATTAAACTTTCTTGAAAAGCTTGGACTTTATAAATAAAAACAATTAAACTATTATACTAAACATTGCAAACAACTTTTACGAGAGAGCATCGTTTTTGTTAGCACCCATCTAGACCGCTTAGAGGCCAACTGAGTGTTCCCGCTGAAGTGAGCATGAGCCTAAAAATCGCATTGTAGCTATGCTGTTAAAACTTCACTAGTAGTGACACAGGCGTCAACAAACTGAGACAACTACATTAAGAATTTCATTTTTTTTATTATGTACTGTGGCAAATTTTACATTTATTGTAGATGATTTATTTTAAAACTTTTTAATAGAGTTTAAATAGTCAGAAGAAGACAGCTAATAAATAATTTTAAAGACATGCCACAAAGACCCAAAATTAATGATAATGACAATGAACGCTTTAAACACATTGAACGTGTATCAAATATATACATACAGCTTTTTGCAGTATACATTATTTGTATCCTAAAGGTGAAGAAAACAGAACGAAAACTGTAATCTTTTGTAACTTGCATCCTGAAAAATGAAATATTTGAACACGATAATAGGCATATTTAGAATAATCAAACTATTTCAGTTACAAGCAAAAGAGAAAACTGTTAAAAACATTTACCGATTGGAAAAGATCTTTAGTGAACTAAAAGTAAAACTTGATGAAGATGAAAAAAACTAGTACAGAAAAAAATAATTATGTGTATAGAAACCTACTATTTAAAGAGAAAAAATACTAACAGAAACATCCTTTAGCCCACAATATTGATGCGCTTTATTTATTATATATTGTATATCAATATAGGTAAAAATTATCTAGAATTATTTTAAATTTCCATAATAGCTCCTTCACAAAATAATTCATCCGAGCGAGCTCCATTACTATCGGCATTACCGAGGTAATTTTGTAGGGGGTATTATTAAAACTGATTATTCTACCCAGACGGCTACTGTTAATAAATTCTTCCAAGGTCGTCAAGCAAAACAATGACTTTATATCGTATATAAAGAGTTCGTCTGCTATTGTTAAATATTTTTCTCTTTTTTAGATTATTAATGATTTAAATTCTTCCCATGGCCGACAGACTTTTACATATATATGCTGTGATAAAACAGTTGACAAAAAAACAATAATTGTTACTATGAAGGTTTCATGTTGTTGAGATCTAACAAACAGATTTTTTTGTAACTTAATGATGCTTATTGAGCAATAACATTTCTGCTAATATTGTCAATTAATATTTATATTTTTATGTATGTTCTTATGTCAAGAAGCACAGGCTTTCATGCCATCCTGTCGTTGCCCTTATTCGTTGATAATCTTTCTTCAGCAATTTCAGCATTTGCATTATTTGTAGCCTTCGTGTGTCATCGGGAATCTTCCGGTTGGTTCTCATCGGCCTTGTAATTTTCGATGTGTCTGGGATAAGTTTTTGTGCCGTAACGTTGAGAGCCACAGTATGTTTACCTGCAGAACCTATTTACAATTAACACGTTGCCTGCCATAGAGGAATTTGTAATACTTTCCGTTCACGCCAAGGCCATTTCTGCTATATGGTCGAAAAAATTACCGCTCATGCCACGGTGCGCAGAGGTACCTTTATATAGCCTGTAATCATTCATGTTTAAAATTTTTCAGAATTCCTCTTCTTACAAAAAAAAAAATTGCGAAAATGTTATATGTGCCGTCCAATGTAACGTCTCGGTGCACGCCACAGACGGCGCCACAGTCACGTTAAAATTCTCGGTCAAATAGACCTCGCTGGCGTGCAGGGTAATTTTTTCTCGGTCAGATAGACTGAGAAGGCAGGCAACGTGTTAAAGTGAATTGGATGTTTTTGAATTTCCTTCGCCTCTCCGAACATTGAAGGATAGTAGTATGCAGTCTTACTTAGCACATAAGTTTCTTCGAATGAAATTTGGTAGTTGTCTTGTGTGGTGGTATGTTCCGCATCGACTGCTCTTTCGCAGTAACCAAGACGATAGTTCCTCTGGTATTCATTTAAGCGAGTATTTACCATACTCTTTGTTTTGTTCCAATGTAGTCGATGTACACTGGATTTTGCATATTTGATGTGTAATATATTTAATATACAGTAAGAAAAATGGCCAAAAACGAGAATCAAAACTTAAAATTTTTAAATTTAGTTTTCCTACTAGCCTTTTAGGCATCTGTGTCTGGTTAATAAAAATATTTTCATAAAAGTAATGGTCAAAAACGTTCTTTCCACACCATTTAAATTAAAATCTGGCGTAAGAAAATGTTGTATTGTAACACCCATATTATTTAGTATATAGGGAGAGGATATTGTGAAAAAATAATCTTGCAAGGATGGACAGGAGGAATAACGATATGTGTCGAAAGACTTACGCGTTTTAGATATGTGAATGCTCTGTTAGTATGATAGAATAGGAACATATTTCGAAGTGGCCGATATGTTTAACTACCTCGGTTATAAACAAAGAAGGCTGTGACGAATACATTAAACACGGATTGGTGACAGCACGTAACGCAACTATAAAACTATCTCAAACCAACAAAGTAAGCTAAAATTATTAAACACATTAATCTTTCCTATTGTCGCATATGCATCTGAAACATGGACGTTAAACGTCGCTAACTGAAGAAAAATAAATGCCCATGAAATGCGGGCTTACAGAACGAAGGTTTCCCACACGCTGTGTGGATCATATTAGAGGAATTGTTGAATATTTTACTCGTACATGAAGCTTCCCTAGCAGCCCATGCCAGATAGGGATAGAAATCCACTATCCGAAAACTTGAGATATGATGTCAGTATACAATACGCATTCAAGAGTCAACAGATAAAAGAAAGTGCTTAATGAATCTTTTATTGGCCATTATATTATGTTAAGCTGACCTACTCTTTCAAATAATTTAAATATAATTTACGTTTAATTGTTATTTATTTATTATTCAACTATATTATTTTTAGGTTCAGGACCGATTCAACTTTGGCAATTCCTCCTAGAGCTTCTTACCGATAAGTCTTGTCAAGCTTTCATTTCTTGGACCGGTGATGGCTGGGAGTTTAAGCTGACGGATCCGGATGAAGTTGCAAGGCGATGGGGTATCAGAAAGAATAAGCCCAAGATGAACTATGAGAAATTGTCACGCGGTCTTCGCTATTATTATGATAAGAATATAATACACAAGACTGCCGGTAAACGTTACGTTTACCGATTCGTATGTGATCTGCAAACGTTGCTGGGGTAAGTTTAGAGATTTTCTTTTTTTTTGTGGTTTCTTTTTTATGTATGTGTCAAACTCTTATTGTTTTTTTGAGTCTCTTGTCTCTTGTGAGACTTTGATAGTCTCCCAGGTGAATTATTAGCTTCCGTTGCTCTGAAGTGTATTATGTATGTTACTACCTATGGGTCTTTTCCTATCAAATCTGTTTATTAGCTGTCCAATTTAACGTTGTATTTTTGCACAGTGTTGATGTATTAGAGAATGTAGGGAATTATGAAATAATCAAAATGTAAGGGTATTATTATTCATTTATTTGTTCAGAAGTACAATGAAAAAAATATGATTAAATTTTCCAACGACAATAAAAATAACAAATTGTAATTAAGAATTTGTATTATAAAATTTAAATACAGATGAAACAGCTACGTGACAAAATATTCACAATGACTAAAAAGTACTCCGTTATAATTTAATGCGTCTAAGTGATTTAAACTTGATTTATTCAATAAATTTCTAATCAAAAACTTGCTGGCGGCTATGCTATTTATAAAATATGATATCAAATCGTGCTCAAAATATGATAAAAGTTTTAAATAAATCACTCCTAAACGTAGTAGAGTTTTCGTGCTAGATAGAAATAGACTAATTAATTGTTAGTGTTCTATATTGGAAATACATTTTGCATTTATCATATACGATATTTAGATATTAAAATCAACATCGTAAATCTGTAAATGGTATAAAATGCGTCTAAGTGATTTAAACTTGATTTATTCAATAAATTTCTAATCAAAAACTTGCTGGCGGCTATGCTATTTATAAAATATGATATCAAATCGTGCTCAAAATATGATAAAAGTTTTAAATAAATCACTCCTAAACGTAGTAGAGTTTTCGTGCTAGATAGAAATAGACTAATTAATTGTTAGTGTTCTATATTGGAAATACATTTTGCATTTATCATATACGATATTTAGATATTAAAATCAACATCGTAAATCTGTAAATGGTATAAAATGACGACATAGAAATCACGTTGATGCAGTGCAACATAATTTCCAATGCAATAAGTGTAGTTCTAGTATATGAAGAGTATCCAAAAACTCTCACGCAAATGGAAACCGCAGATAGTGGACGTGATTCTATATTGATTTAACCTAGATTCAATTTTTCCCAAATATCTCCAGTTTGGTGCCATCACAAAACTTTAAATTTTATGGTACACCATATCTACTTGGGTGGTACAATTAAACCATCTACTTCGGTGGGGGAGAGATGGGAGGCCAGAGATATTAAGAATTCTTTATTTTTTTTTTAAATTTATGACATGTTTTATATCAAACTATAAGGTATTTGAAAATTAAGATATTTTTTTCAACAATAATGTTCTGATCTATGAAACCTGTATCGTTACCGTTTTTGATAAAAAACAATTTAAACTTTTTGTGTTTCTAATTAATATTTTATGTACCACTAACATTAAGTTAGCTCTCACAAATTAACAAATTCAGTTTAATAAGTTAAATAAATTAACGGTGTATTTTTGACCTATGGAACTTTAAATTCTCTAGTATTCTAAGTGTTCTGCATTATTAATATGTGCTATAAGCGTTTGCGAATGTGAGAGTATTCGTGTATTGTGTATTGCATATGTATTGTATATGATTGAAGACGATGTGTCTTCAATCTTAATTCGTCTTTGTTGGTGTATTCTTGTTATTAGCTTCTTCTTTCAGTATTGGCAACCAAAGCCAGCCACATTCTGCTGATGGGTTTGCTGCAGGGTTTATGATAGATGTAGTTCTTTGATCTCTCTTATGTGTTGTTAAGTTTGGTTATAGACATGATAGATCTGAGTGTATTGGTTGTTTTAAATGTTGTATTTACTTTCTATCCTTTTTAAATTGTCTTATTTTTTTACAGATTTTTACATGTGGTATTATTGTTATCCTTAAGTCCCATCTTGCGAATGTTTCTGGATTGCCTTTGTTATTACGTTGTTTTCTTTCTATCTTGTAGAGTTCTTTGTTTATAAATGACAATGGATGTCATTTTTTGTTAAAACCTTTGTTAGCTAGTTTTTTTCTTCTTAAAATGCCATTTCATTAGAGCAAGTGTTTTGGGCTCTATCATATAATAATTGGATGATTCGTTCTATTTTTGATGTTTACATTGTGATTTGAGTGGTAATTTAAATGTCTGTCGATGTGGGTTTTGTAAATTTTGGTGACATATCCTTTATCTCCTTTTGTGAATTGTGAATTTATTCAAGGCTTCTGGTCCATGAGACCAAATGGAGAATATATCATTCACACATTTCCATCATATTTTGGGTTGTTTATCTTGTTTATTAGAATTGTTTTAAAATGTACAAGGTTTTGTTCGAAATGCTCCACGAACATATCTGCTAATAGTGAAGATGAGGATGAGCCCATGGCTAATCCTAAATTTTGCTTATAGAAATGATTGTTAAGTTGAAAATAAGAATTGTCTGTGGAAAGTGTTAGTAGCTTTAAGATAGATAGTACATTCAATTTGGTTTTTGTTGTCAATGTATCGTCTTTGTCTAATTTAACTCTTAATATTTCTAAAGTTGTCTCCAATGGCACACTGGTGGAAATGCTGGTGATATCAATATTGTTGTAATTGTAATTTATTTGTTCTAATTTTTGTAAAAATGGTTGAGTTTTTAATGTATGTTGTATTGTGTGCTAATAAAATTATTTCACAAAAAACAAAACAACAGTTTATTATTTACGATTTATAAACAAGAAAATTTTAAAAGAATTAACTGCAAATTCAGGACTAATATTACAACATGTGCTATATTCGTTTTGGTAAAGACTTCTTCTTGCAAAAATTCGATGGTTATTACTGATTTAGTTACATGTATGTTCAATTCTTGTCCGAGTTTTTATTAGAACAGCATAAACCAATACGATCTTGATTAAACACAAATACAAAAATAAATTGCAAAGGATAAAGTATGAAGATCTTGGAGACCAATTGATGGGACCACCTATTCCAGTCCATTGATTTTCATGTGTTGTCAAGAAAGTGACAAACTTCGCTACTAAAATAAGTTGCATAACCATCGTGCATAAACCATAAGTGCTGTCTGATTATCAGTAAACTATCATTGATTAAATCAGGTATAATATTTTCTAGAAAATTGAGGTAATCCTGTTCTGTTTAACGACCAGGTCGTAGCAGCTGATTACCTATTACACCGATCCAGACGTTTAGACTAAATTTCCGCTTCCTCTTAATTCATATATATATATTATGCTTCCGGCATATTAATGTATATTGTGTAAGTTGAAAATTCCATTGATTGATTCCTTTTGTTTCGCAATCAATTTGTAAAATCAATATCGTATGAACTTTTTGGAAATAGAAAGGATAAAGATTTTCTTTATGAACGATATTCCTTATTGGAGAGTTCTAGCAGACATAGCAACAAACCTTCTTAAGATACTCTTAGGATTCTCATCAACTTCGACAAGAATATCATCATCTTATTCCTTCTATAACGTCAAGATACCTACCGATGTCAGTATTTTTAGAAATTCCTGACAGGAAGCAAGTTTCTCTTAATCTTTGATGTAGGGCTATAAATGTTGAGTGACTCGGAATTCCTTCTGTTTCAAGAGTGCAATCAAAACAGCTTTGCCATTACCGATGTAATCATTGTACAACGTTTTAACTTCTGTAATGGTACTATATTTGAGATATTTGTCAAAAATTGACTGAACCATTTTCGAAGGATCTACCTCTCAAAATCTTGAAGCAATTTTATGATTAAGGTGATATAGATATAGGTTAAATCATAGAATCATGTCCACTATATGCGGTTTTCCTTTGGTAGGAGTGTTTCTGGATACCCTTTATTGTTACATTTGTTTAGTTAAATATTTAGTATATTTATAGAATATTTACAAAAATATTTTGCTTATTAATTTTATTTATTCTTTCAGATACACTCCCGAAGAGCTTCACGCTATGGTTGACTTGAAGCCAGAAAAGAAAGAAGATGACTGAACGGATAGATAACCTTCAAATCTACTAAAAAAAATACAAAAAAATCGAAACAGGCATTAATACAGTTTAATGCCGTCCGTATTGTAGTTAAATACAATAATTACTATATAGACATGTTCCAAATAAACATATTTTCTTATTTGAAATTTGAATAGGAAAGTATATTGCAAAAAGACAATGTTACAAGCGATTTAATTCAATAATTTTTGAGGGGACGCTACAAATGTCAAAATAACAACAAATTGATAACAATTTTTACGAACAAATAAATATACTAAAATGTCAATTATATATCGTTAGCCGTGCCATTTAAAACAGTCGTTTTATTTTCAAGATACTCCTCACTCTTGCAAAACAATTTCACATGACGTATTACATTTTAGAATAATAACTTATTAATTGTAAATATCAGAAGCAGTACATTTATTTCTCTTTACAGAGTTATTGCTTGGAATATACTTGACAATGATATGCCTTCCACTTAGTAGTTAAACGTATACTTGCTGTTTTTCTGCATATATATCTCAAGGAGAACTAGAGCGAAGGGAGAAGAAAAGTTAAGAATCAAAATTTATTTTTTTAAAGGTTAGCTAAAAGTCTTTGATTAGATTTTTTAAGTATATGAATACAGATACTTCGTAGAAGAAGAGTTATCGATAAATAATAACATATGATATAGATATCACATTTAATATGTGATGTAATCGTTTTCCGATTTTTTTATAGATGAGTCTGTATCACTCATTTGTCAATGCGCAGTGTCACATAATATATACTTATTAGGCTGTCGGAAAAATTTGGAATAGAAAATAATGGGAATGTGAAAAACAATGATCTACCCACCTTTAGATACTCAATGCGGAGTATGTGGGTAGTTACCACTAAAATTTACAGTAAATAAATCGTTGGTAGGTAAAACTATTAAAATTTTTTGATTATTATCTCTTAAAAGAAGGAATCCCAAATATGCTACATAAAACGAATATTGTAAACTAATCTTCAGATTTTTACAGACATAATAGTTATTATTCTAAAAATAAAATGTTGAAGTGTTTTGCAAATAGTCTAAAAATTCTTATTTTCACATTTTATACAGAATTTTTATATTATACACTAAAGGAAAAATATTTTTTTAAAAGTTTGTTCTAGATGATAAGTGTGATCGAAAGTTGACAAATATATACTCAAAATCAATTTGTTAATTTTCCGATGTTATTCTGCGTTATTTACATCGCCATATTTGTAATATTTATGTATTATTGCCAAAATAATCGAAGAAAAAGAAAATAAATTTACAAAAATCAAATTTGAGTAACTAAGTATATTTCCGCAAAATTTTTTAATAATATTTTAAATAAAAACACATTTGCATGTGTTTTGAATTGAAATAACATTTAGCATGTGTAAGTTAAAAATAACACGTTCCTGAGTTGTTCGAAAATGTCATTGCAAATTATTCCTCTTATTTTTATCTATTGCACAGGTATAATCGTAAATATATACATCTAAAGTAGTATAAAATTCAATATGGCAAGCGTCTCAGTGTTACTCGTTCCATTATTGAGTAACCTGGGAATGCGACAAGAAGCTGCAGAACCCCTGGAATGGTTCAAATCAAACTCGCCTACAGAGTGCAGATCTCTCCTTAAAGAAAATAAATCCATCTGAATCAGAATTAACTTGTTTGTTTTTTTCTCACTTCTTCATCTGAAATTAAAGAATACCGTTCTTTTCCATAAAGGAAGTAAAACGAGTCCTCCAAACTAAGAGGCATTAAGTAAGATTTATTTGTATTCAGAACTAATTGTTTGATCAGTTATGTAAAAGAAAATAATCGCTTTTTTTTCAATTTTAATGATAAAAAAGGCGAACTTATTTTGTGAAGTGTGGCTTTATCAAATAACTTTTTAAACTGTTTTCTGTCACACCACGGTGTGACCATCGTTTTAATATTTTGTTTAACGGTGCATAAATAACCATTCATAGATAGTTTTCATAAAACATTATAAGACCTTTTCACTAAACCTCTGGTTGAGAGTTGCCACCTATAGTAATGCGACAGTTAACCATATTGTTCTGCAATTTTGTCTGAGCACAATACTACTGACAAGAAACAATTTTGTGTGAGCACAATACTACAGAACATTTGATTAAAAATAAGCAGTACATGCGAATAGAGTACGGAAAACAAAACGACACAAAAAAAACATCGTGGCTAAGAAACTGGAAAAATCACTCGTCTTTATTTCAGCAGTTCGTACTTTTGTACGATGCATATTAAAAAATATGTTGTTCTTTACAAATCTGCACTTTTGACTATTGACAGTGTTGTTACTTTAGTAAACCACCCATATCAAGATGCTAAAATGTAAATATTTGGCTTATACCTAATCCCAACCTACCGTATTATTAAAACTAGATAATATGTTTGTTCAAAACTATGATTTATTTGATTAACTAAATTTATACTCTTTTTTATTTACTCTAAGAGTGTAAAAGCCTATTATATTATTTAATTATTAAAATGTATCATTGTCGTGGATTATGTGTAAAATTTGTCTCCCAACCAGATGTAAAAATGTTTCGGGGATATATTTTGAACTCAAGGAAATACTAGGAAAAGTTATAGATATGGCGATCGATAACCAAATTTTCTTAAGATGTTAGTTGTCTTAAACTCTCCCCTACCTGCACAAATGAAATCATCAAATAAGGATATTAATCAACAACTGTGTGATTCTAAGATAATAATTAAAGTTAAATTTTTGGTTAAATGAATGTATAGTATCACTTTTTTGTGGTGTTTTCTCTGCTTGTGAACAAAATACGGTTAAATGTTAAAACTGATCAAAGACGAGAAGAAAAAACACCTTGTAAATATTATTACTATTGTGATAAGTCTATTGAATCAAAGTTTATATTGTGAAGATAATTAGTCTTTTGTGAAATACATGTTGGCAGTTCAGAAATTTAAAAAAATCATTTTAAAATTATTAACAGTTGTATTTTGCCATCGCGCATCGTTTGAAAAATAGTCAACAGTTTAAAAAAAATTATAGTACTTTATCTGTTTTTGTAATAAATTAACATCTAGTTCATAGTATTTACATACTGTTATAATGATATTAAGTTTTACAAAGTATTTATTACCATCTACTCCGTCCAACTCATTTTTTTACTTTATATTTGATTAGCATCTTTGGAATACCGTTGAAAAATATAAATAAATTTAGTTGATGGATAAATTCTCAATTCAAATGTTTAAAAAGATTAATCTAAAATGATATACAGAAACAAGAAGTATTAATTGTTTTCAGTATAGATACATACGCCGCAATAGACTTCTTAGTGCTCTAATTAAATCGTTTATTTAATTTGCACGTTTATAAAGGAGTGTTATCTTTCGCGACCGTTGGTTCGTAAAGGTTACTTGTTATCGGTGTTTACAGGCCGCGGTCCAGACTTATTTGTTCCTGGAGTTTCTATTTCAACTGCAGCGGACGTATCAAGAACGAGGCTAAGGATGACATAGTGTTATCGTTGCTCTTAACCACTGATGTTCTTCCTTGAGTATCCCCGGTATAATCTTACTCCTCTCTACGCCTTGTGCTTCTTTGGCACTGTTGGTTGGCCTAACCGATATTTAAATATTTAGGCTGCCTGAAGAGACAAATTACACATTTTTGAAACTTTTATTCTCTTGCCAGGTTGATTTTCATCATTTGTTCCAGTCACTGCTTTAGTGGCCCAACTTTTTTGTATTCTGTAAGTAGCTGTATATTTAGTGTTTTTAAGTATTATCTTCGTTTTATATGCATATCGTCAGTATTTTGTTGATAAATTATCGTAGCGATTGCACTACTACAATTGAGTAATGCATAAAAATACCTCGTCGACAATGACTACTCCACGTCTTATATTGTTATGTTCCGCCAGTACTACCGTCAATATCAATATATGGTTTAAAGGTAATATGAGAACTTCTTTACTTTTTTTTTTGTTAAAGTTATTTGGTGAAATATGGCGAAAAGTTATATTTTCCTAATAACCGAATTTTGAGAACTGTAACGAACTTTTCGAAGTTCAAAGCTGGTGAACCAATTATCAAAAGTTACATTCCTTTTGGTTCCAGAAGAGGGAGTGGTAAGTCTGAGAACTACTCCTTTAGATTTATTTCTCAAATATGATTGCTCTTCTAGTAGCCATCCAACATATAGTCTTAAATTTTGAACATTGGATTTCACATTCACTAGAGCGAACACGTAATTTATATCATGCAGGTATTATTTGTCATATACTGTCGAAAACAGCAAAGATATTTTAATGCTTCCTACGCGTCATTTATAGTTAAATATTCCATTCGAATATAAATATCATAGCTACTTTGCACACATTTTTTAAAAATTCTCCTCATTGTACATATTTTATCTATTTTTGCTTCCGTATCGATTTTATATATTGTCAGAGTGTAGACAAGTCTTAAGAAAATGAAACGCTGTAATGACATCGTTTCCCCAAATAAGTTTATTCAGTTTTCATAAATCTAAAAAAGATGTTCTCAGTTGAGCCAACAGATTTGAATTTGTTTTCGAGATTTACCGACGTAACCTGCTTTTCACTATTCTGCTCTTTTCCAAACATTTTATTATATTTTTTTTATACTTTTTCATTACACTGACACTGGGTAAAACAACTAGAATGTATAGATTTTTTTAGAAAATGTGGAACATAAGTTTTCAGTACGTCTCTTTTTCATTATATTGTATGCCGCAGTTGTGGTCAAAACATAAGAGGGAAGTAGTTCTAGATCACGCCGTATAAATCCCGAAAACAATGTTTTATTGCAAAACACTGGCCTTGAAAGTCTCATTAATTGAAGACACTAGTCGTGTAAAGTGTTGCAAAACTTAGTCCATTAACTTTTTAAGCTCTTTCTAAAATTGTAAAAGTATAAATAGAAAATTATTATTACTTAGATGGTAGCCATAGATGCAGTACAT